GCCTTTAGACCAGGAGGAAACCTCTGTGTTTTAAACTCAGGCTTCCTCCAGGTTAATCAGGTATTTTTTCAGTATGAAATGAGTTCTTGTATTTAAACTAAAACATACTGACAATATGCCATTTTAGCAATTGCCTTCCACAAGATATGTCCTAATACTGCAGCATTTTCAAACACTCCATACAGATATTTCTTTAAAAGTTACACTGACAAAAGTAATTTCAGCCTTTTGGGCTGTACTTGATGCCTATTTATTTTTTGTGCCTTTAATAGTCACAACTCCAGGATTTCCTTTTGCCTTAGCTCTAAGCACCACACAGTCTGATTTTAGACAAACCACAAATAACATTTATTTTAGCTGTTTAATCATTCTAGTCCTTACTCCTTTTTTTTTTTAAATGCCTTTTCTACTTTCTTCCATTAGAAGCAAATGCTGGCCTTCTGTTCTTTTAGTGTATCCTTTGCTTTTAAGGAAAAAATAGACAGAAAGCTGTATTCCAACATACCTTGAAAGGAGAGTAGCATTCACTGCTAGCTGTGTGACTTTTCAGTAGCTGCACTCAGACTCCAGCATTCCCAAGAACCACGGTGTCACAAATCCCTGAAGCTTGCAATGAGGAGCAGAGGCAGATTGCTCTCACACGCCCTTCCTCTTCTCTGGGTATCTGACAGCTGTACACTTTTTAGGACTGCAGCAGGACTTGTCTCTCAGCCCCTTTGCCACTCTGATAAATCATCCCCTCCCTGCTATTAGGGCATGCTGCCATTATATCTTAAAAGCACGTCACAGCTTGTATGCAGTAGCTGTGGGAAAGCTGCATTTATTTATACAGGAAGCTTGAGTACAGCACTTCCTACTTCCCATCCGAGACTCAATTCAACTGCAGGTGATTACTTAAACCCTGTCAGCCAGCCAATGCACACCCTACGTCCTGATTTGGATATCTGTGCTGCTTTTAATCACAACTCCCATCTGAGCTCTGAGAAGGTAAAACTGAAAGGAGCAAGGCATTAGATGCGACACACATAAAAAAACCCTCCCAAATTAACCTGTGTTAGGGTAGCAGTTTGCATAGCAGCTGCCCTACTGGCAGATGACGTCTGAAATATTGCTGGCTTCTGCTTGTGAAAAATGTCATCTAAAAGAAAAGTGATTTCTTCATGTTGGAGGGGAAGGGAGCAAAAAATCTAACTGACAAGTCAAGTATCAGTGTAACTTCAAATCTGAATGCTTAATTCTGTCCAGACAAAAATTTCACTCTTTAAGGTGGGCTTGTGTGCAAGAGGGACTGGGAATTCTGCAGTTCTGTACTCCAAACTTAAGGGTGTGATTCACAGCAGCTGAGCAGCAGAAGGTATTATTGAGACACACGACATCAAACCCTCAAGAACTTTTCCTACTGTAGGAAATGCACCGCACCCACAGATAAGAAGTGCAGGGTGTGCAGAAAAACAAAAGGGGGGGAAAAAGTACAGATGCTAATCTATAATTTTCTCTTTATGATGAAATCAGTTTACTTTGTAGTTCATGCAATTATTGCTGGTGTTTTGCCTTCAGTACTTAGATATATAGGCATTTCTTCTGGGGTGTATAGAAGCTCACAGCTGAGTTTTTAGTTATTTTCAGCCAATTATACTGCATCAGAATAACTTAAGAAAAAGGCAGAAATCTTGTGCAACTTTAATTCAGTCTCCTTATACCTATGCACTACAGCATTGCTTGAATTACCATCATATACTCTTTTCCTCTTGGAATAAGTACAAATTTAAAATCAATCTATTTAACTTTGGGTGTTACACATAATTTTATATTTAGAGGGGGAGGGAATAATCACCAGAAAAAATGTAGCTGTTCAAACATGTGGAATCACGTTGATCCCTACAGTGTTCATCAACAGTTTTACAACAATATTAGGCAAACTAGAGCCATGTCACATATATTGCCACTTGAGTTAGCAGAGTATTTCCCAGCAGAAGCAGACTCATATCCTTGGCAGTGACCAATCCTAGACGGTACTCAAGAAACACCTAGGGCTCAGAGCTATTTTTCAGTATGCAGAACAGTAATGAAAATGTGGAATTCTTTGTAAAACTTCATGATTAGAAAAGGATTCTCCTTCAGTGGTTGGAATTTTAACCTAGTATGAAATAGCTTGAGCTTCTATCACTACTCTTTTCAATAGTTCCCCTCAGTTTCAGTTCCTATATTTTCTTCCTGCTGCTGCTACCTTTGCTACTCTACCTCCATCACACAAGTACTTTTTAGGCCACAGATGAAGCTCAACAAGAAAAATCTTCCTGCGCTCAGCCCCTGTGCTCAGTAACACAGCACTTGAACAGAAAAGGGACTATTATCTCAAGGAGAGTAGTGAGAGAGTGAGGATGAGGAAAATCAAGTCATTTATGCAGGTGTAGGGAAAATGGCAGGGTAGTAGGTTCAGAAGTAGAGCAGGGCAGCAGCCAGTAGCAGAGCAGCAAAAATAGCATCTGGTTTGGTATTTACTCCTTGATGGCACAAAAAAGCAAAACCAAGCTTCACTGAAGTAACCTCCAACAGTCAAGAGATAGAGCTGCAAACAAAGGTTAATCATCTTTCCTTCAGATAAATGATGAGGCCAGCTTGTATCTGGGGGGCTGTTCTTTCAAACTATGAAAACTAGATTAGTACATTAAAATGCAGACCAATTCTGGACACATCAGCTGCAAACATCCCATGATATTTTTATCCCATTTCCTAATAGGTATCTCTATGCATGAAAGTTATAATGTGATTGCACAAATGTGCAAAACTGCTTACAGCAAAATTAATTTCCCTTAAACATTACAAAATTGGTGAGAAATATTATTAATGTTTCCCAAGAGATTTAATTATTTGGAAATGTTAAGATGTGCTCATTCCAAGCATTCCACTTCTTCAGTATCAAATCCTAAACTGTGATCCGAGGATTTACATGTAGGACAATCACTTACTGATGTTCTGTGGACAGCTGGCTATACCTCTGCTTTCATCTTCTCTTCTGTATCTGTCCTTACTTCTGTGCTTACCCAGGATCTCCACAGCAAAGAGGAGCTGAAGGTGACGTCGCACTGCGCAAGAGCTCAGGCTATAAGGACTTGAGATGATCAATACTGATGGTTCTTTTCATTGCCATCACCTGAAGATGTGAGCTGGACTGTTACAAGCTCTTCTGTCAAAATGATTTCTCTTCCAGCTCTACCTCGAGCCCAGGTACTTCACAGTTTCACAGAAGCACATCTTCTTGCCAAGCTAATTTTATGAACTATTATGAGCCATGCTAGAATTGCTACCCAGCCCAAATCCCTGAATTTCTGAACCCAGATTGATTGGTTTCCTTTTTGAGTCACAAATAAAAAAATACAACTTCAGAATGTCACACAGTGCCAGACAAGGCACAAGCTAAGTCCTCCCCGTTTGCTCTTTTCTTCAGTAGCAGTGACATAAAGCACAAAACTGAGAGGGTCCAATTAATCTTTTGGACACTCTCAACTGAAGCCTTTATATCTCCAGGGCTGGGGGAATGGCTGAGCCTTGGAGATGATACATACTGAAATGCAGCATCACTAGGAACTTTTAGTTGAGTTACTAGTCAGAATACAAATAAAGGCTGGCATAGTTAATTACTAACATTGCTGTGTCATTCTTGCAGCAGCTTGAAATACTTACAAAATGACTAAGCCGGTCTTCATTAACTAAAATTACTCATTAGTTTATGACAGAAGGGGGTAAAAAAGTAATAGCATGACCACTGAAAAGATGTCTCATATCTTACAAACAAAATACCGTTAGCAGCAATAAAAACACCGAGTCAGTCTATAACTAACAGTTTCATTATAACTCTATATAAAGAATTAGGATTAGTTTGTGAGGGGAAAAAAAGAAATTTTCACTACTCTGTTTCAGTTTTCAACTAATAAAAAACAAATATCCTGAAAAGTAATTGCTATCCAGAGGTATAATATAAAACGAGGTTTTGTAACAAGCTTTCTAAAACCAGAGGCTAACTAAGAAAAATGAGTCTTTATCCACTTCACTTACTGTACATGCAAATTATCCATTTCCTTATAGGAAAAAAATATTTGGATATGTAAGAGACACAGTTTCACAACAAAAATAGATACTAATGCTAATTGGTTACTAACATAACCAATGCTGAAAACAAAACAGGAAGGGGTTTTGCACAGTGAGTATACATATATTTTCTGAAGTTACAAGTATGATGCCCCTGATGTCATGGACTATTAATAGTTCTATTCAATGGGAACTGTTTTAAAGGAGGATTACACCATCAAAAGTCATCTGTGGTACCTTCATAAACCGGATGTTTTAAAAAAGGAATCTTTATTCAATATATGTATTTATATAATCACACAATGCTAGAAATCAGATGTCAATGCAAAAAATACAGAGCTATGTAATATTTTGCATGCAGACAAGATTTACTCAGTATTAGCAACAAGAAAATCAGCATCACATTTTTCCCTGTTTGAATAACCCTATTGTTCTACAATTCTGACTTAGTATGCAAGTCACTCACTGACAAACTAGGTTTAAGATCTTCATTATTTCCTTTACCTAAAACATAAAACTTTATTACAAGGTGTTTTCTATTGGAGTAAAATAAGTCAAGTTAAATTATTTTGAAAGAACAGTAGGTACAAATCCAAAGAGCTTTTTATTTTACAGTGAAAAAGGGAGTGGGATGGCACACTGTCTGCTGAACATGTATAATGATTACTATCTCAAAATGTGTGTGGTAGGTGACTTACACTCATCCTGCTCTATGAACAAGGCAAAATGCAATATTCATTAAATTTTATTGGCACAGCACACCATCTCTAAACAAAACATAATGGCTTCCATAAAACTCTGTATTTCTTCTCTTTTCATATTTTTTCATGTATTGTTTATACTGTGAACTAGCTTTTGGTATTTGATCCATACAGAACTGTGCTAGAGGATTAAAAAAAATAGAGTCTCACCAGAAAACAGTGAGAAAACAGTCTTCTACCCCAGTGGGTAGGTTTCAGGTGCTTAGAAATCTCATCTTAAAGATCAATGCAGATGATTTTGACAGTATGTTGCTGGAGTTCCAGTGCAACTTGTCTTCTTGGAACCTGAAAGCATTAAGAGAAAGTGTATTTGCCCCTGTAGCAAAACTTGCTGGTGACAGAGCTCTACTAGCAATGTCACCAGGAGCGGGCACTTAGCCACCAGCAACCAAACAGCTCTGTAATTGCTCTACACAAATTTTTTGCTTTTGCAAACTCCTGCCTGTTCACTAAGTGTGCAAAGAACCAGTCTGCAAAAAGAAAAAGAGCCAAGTTGCTATGAGTCTGCCACAAAAAAGATGTTGATGAACTGCCACTGAACATCAGACATCTATCCCAGGGGCAGCCAGTGCAGCACCTTCAGACCAGGACATGTCCTTAGCCACCTCTCTGCACTCAAAACACAAGGAAGAGGAAGGTTTCTGTCACAATCCCCCTTGACCTCCTCCTGTGACATGAGACCTGCCAGCCATCAGTTCACAAAGTGATCATCAGTGATGTGGTGGTGCTGCTTCTAGTGACACAGCAGCAGAGGTTGCAGGACACCTCTCAGGCTCAGAGGACCTGTGTAAGCAGGTCCAGTTCCCCAGATGGATAGCACATGTAGCTTCCCCCAATGTCATGAACTGATGACAAAAGAGTAAAATAAAACCAAACAGGTTGTTTTGCCCTCATGTTCATGTGTCACACGTACAGAAGTGGAGTCGCTCAGTTCTTATGACCATCAGGTAACAGATGAGACTTTCTAGCTGCAAAAATAGTAACTTATAAAGTAGCATTGAGGGAAACATATTAAATACATGTGAAAGAGGAGACACTAAAGTTGTCCACTTCTCCTGCTTTCTCTTAAAGTCAGCATACATTTTTAACAAAATTGTATAAAGATTGCATGATTGCATAGGGAAAACCTAAGGCTCAGTTCAATTAATTTATTTTCTATTAACTGTATTCACAGTTAACCTCAGAGCATGTCACAGACTTTCAGTTATACATGGATACTTTTTTTCCTATTGACGGTGTGCCCAAAAATGACACATTCTGTTGACTTTTAACCAAGTGTTTTGGTAATGTACCCAGAAGCACAGTGATTTCAGACATCAGACATCAGAATCGCCATCAGTTTAAAAACTGAGAGGGCAAAACCATCCTGGCAGCCAACACAGGAAGCTCCCTCTGTAACAGAGGAGGTCACTCACCTGTCCTTGTCATGAGATAAAAATGTGCACACTATTTTCATGTCTGCTTTTTCTGTCCTCCTTCGAGCTCTTAACTGCCTTTTTTTCAGAAATATTAAGAGAAGGCTTTATTCCTTCCAACCCAAGCCAGTCTCCTAGGTGATAGTTCTATCTACTGGTTTAAAAGACAGCTAAAATTTGGAGGGGAGGGTGAAAAGAGGGGGTTGCCTAATAATACATTTCAGCCCAGACCTTCCTGTTTTAACTACCATCAGAAGTCAGGGATGGGCAAGTCAGAAATGAGACAGAGTTGAGGCTCCTAATTTTATGGCTATAAAACCCAACAATAGGACTTTCATAGGCATCTGGCAGGTAGGACCAAGGTGAGGAGCTAAAGCATATCTCTGATTCATACCTTTTCCTTAGTATTTAGGTATGACACACATACCCTTTGATTAATTTAGGATGAGAAATAGTTTCCAAGTTGAGAGAGGTTACTCCAACGGATTGGCTATGCAGGGAAATAATGGAACTGAAACATACCCATATAGGAAAATCAGGAACTCGTCCCTCTCTCCCAGCATCCCTCTCCTTACTCAACTTCCAGGGAGGGTCCCCATGCCATTCCCCTCCCCTTTATAGTCTCCTTTTCCTATCCTAGTTTACATTTCATCCATTTATGGTGAGGCCAGATGCAAAAGTTTTGTCCAGATCCACTTTTCTCCCTATGAAATTTAATAATGTGGTTACATAATCTCAGCTAATAGTTTTTAGGGATTTCAGCCTCTGCCACATTAGGGCTGTTTGAGTGAGCCCACTTTCTCCCTGCTGGACACATTTGCAATGGCAGCATCGAACAAGGACACAATACCACCTCCCAGATGAGAAGCAGCAACGTGTTAAAACACGTGCAACTGTTTGCTGGCAGTGCTCTAATCATATCACAGCTGTAGTAACAAAATCCATGATTGCTTCACATTCGGATCCCTTGTTAGGATAGGGATAAAAATTTTCTTCCTCCTCTGCTCAGAGTAGAGAAGACAGCAATTAAAATAATCTCCTTGAAAGGACATCTTTAACATGCACTACTCAGCAAGCAGTAGTTAAATTCAACGATCCCAAAATTAGTGTAGTGGGAACTCAAAGACAAGCACATTGCTTGCTTGCTGCAAGTGACATAAGGATTTATTCAGTTGCACTGGAATAATTAAGGAAGTTTTAACTTCATGTTGTTTATTTTTGTGTCTGATTAGAGACACATTCTGTTACATTCAGGTGCCAGGTAACAATTAAAAATATGTGCTTTTTACCTAGTAATTTTTTTTAAGTTTCTTATAAAACTAGGTATATCCATTTGAGCAGAGAGAATCTCTAGGAAAAGAAACATGAGTTTTACAAGACTAAACAGGGGCAGAAGGGCAAGAGACATACCAAAACCTCTGCTTTTCCAAACACTGACAACATCCAACCAAATATTATTTTCTGCCTCAGTACTATCTGCAGTCATTGAAGAAATTACAAGCAAACTCATCTTTTCATTAAGCATGACTTTGTCTCTGAAAATCCATTGGCTCCATCTAACTACCCTATATTTCTCAGGAAGAAATTTAAACAGATCTGGGTATATCATCCCAACTTTTGATTTTATACATACATATGTATTTTCTGGGATATGAGAAAACACAGTCAGGGGAAAAATGCATCAATAAATTTGTTCCCACAGAGAATCACTTTGCATTACACAATATAAACAAAGCTTTGAAGTGTGAACTCTGAATTTGTAGTTTCCATGAGTTCTATCTTTCTTACTAGTTCTATCTATCTTACTAGGGTGTATAAATTCAAGCTGAAGAAAATGTGTTCAGTGAACTCTGACTATGAGTAAATATTTAAATTTCTCCTTACATTATCCTTTGGATAACTGTCTATATGATTGCAATTTACAAATCTAGGGAAAAAAACAATATCCCAGATCAGAGGAAATGGAAATGCTGCGTTGTAGAAGAAGAGAAAGAGGAGAAAAAACTGGCCTACTTGCATGGAAGAAGTCCTGACACCTCTCTCACCATATTACCAAAGTTAGGTCAGCTCCCACCTTCAGAAGGCAGATGGGAAGAAACTTCTTCAAGACTGGAGGATCTTGAGGTCTGCCAAGGAGGTATGAGAGAACATGAAATTTAAGAAGGAATTTAACATGAAGTTTAAGGAAGGTTTGGTGGATGAAAGGCCGGGCATCAACCAGCAATGTGCACTTTCAGCCCAGAAAACCAACTGCATTCTGGGCTACATAACAAGAAGCGTGCCTAGCAGGTTGAAGGAGGTGATTCTGTCCCCTGTCCTCTACTCTCATGAGACCCCACCTAAAGTAGTGCATCCATCTCTAGGGCCTCAAACACAAGAAGGCCATGGACCTGCTGAAGTAAGTCCAGAGAAGGGACACGAAGACGCTCAGAGGGCTGGAGCACCCCTTCTATGAAGACAGGCTGAGAGAGTTGGGGTTGTTCAGCCTGGAAAAGAGAAGCCTCCTGGGAGACCTTATAGCAGCTTCCGGTACCTGAAAGGGACCTACAAAAGAGCTGGAGAGGGACTTTGTAAAAAGTCATGTAGTGACAGGACAAGGACTAATGGCTTTAAACTGAAAGAGCATCCATTAAGATTAGATATTAGGAATAAGTTTTTTTACGATGAGGGTGGTAAAACTCTGAACATGTTGCCTAGCATAGTGCCCCATCCCTGCAAACATTCAAGGTCAGGTTGGACATGGCTCTGAGTAATCTGATCCAGTTGAAGATGTCCCTGCTCATTGCAGGGGAGTTGTACTAGATGACCCTTAAATGTCCCTTCCAATGCAAAATATTCCATGATTCTAACAGGGGCCAAAGGCAGGGAAACCATTTGACTCTCCTGAATATGAAACTGAGAGCATGAAGAGACTGGGTATAACAATCTCCTGTCTCTGTGTTTTTGGTTTATGCATAGAGTACATTTGTTATGTGGGGAAAAAAAGAAGTGAAAAGGAGGAAAAATCATATATACTACACAATATTTTTAACATTGCATGAAAAACATTTAAAAAAAGAGAAAAGCTATATCAATTTTGCTAATTGCTTTCTTTCTAAGACCAGCTCTTAAAAAAACCTTTTAGCTTTGTATATATTCATAGCTTTTTAAACAACATAAAAAAATTACAAACAGGACTTCCCAGTAGCCTTGCAGAGAGCAAACTCAGTGTCAGAATCCAGGCATGTAGCATCCCCAGCATCCCTGTTGGTGATCACAAACATCTCACCAGTCTCTGGGTGCCCCAGGAAGCAAGCTGCCACAGGTCTCAGCTGTGAAAGCAGCACAAAACGCCTCTCTGGGCTGGAAAAACTGGAACAGATAGGCTGCTTCCTACTGAGCAAACCTCAGAGAAATTATCCAGCACTACTTGGTAAGAACCAAGAAGCTCCATCTGAGATCCTTTTGAAATATGGTGATCACCACACTATGCCACAAAAACAGTGTTTACAATAATGGTTTCTCATCTTTGGGTTAAAAAAATTCATCAGGTCATGACGTGATATATCACACTCAAACTTTGTGCATGGAAACAGAATTTGGATAGCAGGAGAACATAATTTATTCCCACTATGGATTTATTCCTGATAATACTGGGTTAAGGATCTGAAGAGTTTCTGGCAGTTCTGTTTAATTGTTTATTTAGGAATAGTGGTTTATCTCCCCCCAAACAAAATGATAGGAAGTATGAATCAAGACTGTTCAAAAACTAAAATAACAACTTCCTTTGTCCTTATTGATATCATTTCTGTTTTTGTGACCTGAGTGGGTATGTGTTGATTGTGGGAAATCTTTTTCCAGTGAATCACTAGGAAGAATAGATAAAATTAA